ATCTCTCTCAAAGTTTCCCTTTTTTAGTTCACAGTGTCAGCATTAGGGAAAGATAGGCTAGATCAGTGTTTCTCAACCCTGGTCCTCACCGCCCCCCTACACTGCATGTTTTAGATGTGCCTCTATTCCAGAACAGCTGATTCAAATGATTGCATGACCATCAAGTACTACAGAAGCCTGTTAATCACACAGATACAATTCAGGTGTTTAGCAGAAGGGGAAAACCTAAAACATGCAGGACAGGAGGGTGATGAGGACCAGGGTTGAGAAACATTGAATTAGACCAAACTTCTCTTCTCAAATGTTAGTTAACCTCTCACAGGTCTCCAAAGTCATAGCATGATTATTTAAAGAGATGGTAGTCATTCTGTATGTAAACATTTGATTTTAAAGATGATGCGAAACAAATCTTGCATATTTTTCTCATTTGCTTTTAGCAAATATAAATAATTTTGGTTGTTCTAACTGAATTAAAACATATTTTTAATTGGTGTCTCATTGGTAATTGGTCTGGAGAATTTAAAGTTATTTGGAACGGAAATGTTCAGTGTCCCTTCAGTCTGAGAGATCTACTGAAGTCTAGAGTTGGACCTTTGTAGAGAAGGATCAAGATTTTTACCAGAGTTTCTGAAGCACGAGCGATTCTTGTGCAACCCGTAGCAGGAAGAACACAAAGTGTTGTCCTGGTTAGATATAAATACTCACAAACCTTGTGCTCTTAACCAAATCTTTTTGTCACCCGTTTTCTCTCCTTCTCAAATTAGCTGTTCCTGCCCTCCATGCGGAAAAAGAGCAGCCTCAGCAACACCGAGGGCTCAGTTGACGGTGACACTCTGACGGCTCACTGGTTGGTGGACGACATGTTCAGTTTTGAGAACGTGGGCTTCACAAAAGACGTGGGAAAGATCAAGTACCTGATCTGCGCAGATTGTGAGATCGGACCAATCGGATGGCACTGTTTGGATGACAAGAAAAAATTTTACGTCGCTTTGGACAGAGTGAATCATGAATAATGCTGGTGCAGATGTGAGCCTAATGGACTTCAGGAAGGTTGTGGCCTGCTATGCATTCCTTCGTGGATTTCCCCCCATAAATTGACCCTGACTTAATCCGTCATTGACACGTGTGAAGAAACGGCTGTGTGTAAACGGTTTGGTATAAGATTGTGCCACATTCATTCTTAACATTCTCATAAGACTCACTAATATTATAATAAAAGTATTGAAAGTTGATTTTGATATTCTTTCATGCACCTTATATCAAGAAGTTGCAGTGTCTTCTACAGACTGTTTTATGAAAAATATTTTCATCCTTCAATCCCTCTATTTTTTTTTTATCCAATGCCACCTTTAAATTTTAATCCAGCGAGGCGTCTTTGTGATATTTCTCTACCAGCTTTGCACATTTTTAAACTAGACAGTTTCCTCTTCTTTAAAAATACCAAATTTCATGATTACTACAAATTCTCAATTGGATTTAGATCTGGACTTTGACTGGGTCATGCTAGCACACGAATATGCTTCAATTTAAACTATTGCATTGTATCATTAGCTAGATTTTTATAGTTGGTATCCACCTGGAAGGGAAACCTTTGTAGCAGTCAAAAGTGTTATGCAACCTTTAACAGTTTTTGTTTTATTTTTGCAGAATTGCTCTGTTTTGCCTCTACCCTCCCATCAACCCTGATTTATTTATTTTTATTCCTGTTGCAGAGAAACATCCCCAGAGCATAACAGAGCTACTACCATGCTTCACAGTAACGTATGCAGGGAAATGTTTTTTTTCCTCCATTTTCTTTGTGTCTTTGTGGTAACATGAGATTGAATTTATGATGCTGCATTGATTAGACAGGCACTGCTAAAAATAGGTATCCATGGAAAGTTTGACTGCTTTTTATGACAGACGTTTGAATAAAATGTGATTTACAGCATGCAACACACTTTAACAAAGATCTTAAAGTATTAAGTATTAAATCAGGCCAGTGGAAATCATATGAATTGCTAGTATATAGCTATTTAAGAGTAGAGTTCAATCCAAACACAGCGTTCATCTGTTCTTCAGCTTAACCAACCTGGTTAATCTTTTAGTACATCTTTGGTGGATTTCCTTTAAAAACCCCAGTGTGTGCCATTTCAGGATGCTGTTCCGTTCTACAACACTAGATGTCCTAACTTCACGGCTTGACGAGCTTCCTGACTGCAGCATCATGTGGTTTATTGTTAGTTTTAATAACCAGAGGTGCTGCACACATTAACTGACTTCTTGACCTCAACACAAGTGGTTCACAACTTGGTGTAACAAACACCAAGTTTGTTGGTGTTTGTAGTGTTTCCAAGCATCACCAGAGCTCGAGTCAAACTGCTGCAGTTGATTTGCACCAAAAATGAAGACAAAAGTGAAGAACACAATCTAAAGACCATAAAACAACTATTATTACTGTGGTTAACATAAATGCAATGAAATTGTTGTGTTTTTTTGTGTCATTTAATTGTTGGAGGTGAGATGTAGGGTATTGATGACCCCTGCTGCCAGAGGGTTGGTTGTCCACTGTGTCTCTGTGTCGTCCTGTGATGGACTGGTGATCTGCCCAGGGTGTTCCCTGCTTATAGCCAAGGTGACCCTGAAAGGATAAGCTGGTGTAGGTGATGAGTGGATATTTTGATTTTAATGCATATACGTAGAAATGTATATTAAACACCTGTAGCAAAATGAAAAACACAAAGTGATCTTTAAAAAAAAAAAGTAGTTTGGTTAGTGATTACGTTAAGTGAATGATGATGTGGATGATAGATCGACATGTTTGCATCCCCTGTTCATCCGAGGTGCTTTCAGATAACAGTGCATTCTGGGAACGCTGACTGGGACTGATTCTGACGTTGGAGCTGTTCAAGGTTGATGACAAGGAGCGGATGTGGGAGGTGTGCGAGTTTTCTGGAGTGTGTCTGGAAAGGAGACGCGTTCATGGTTCCTTCTATAGTTCGACTCTTGGATCTTCCCAGATGGCATCCAGAGCTGGGGCTAACTGAAGGAAAGTGCTGCTTTGTTCAGTTATTTTTGGGTCAATAAATTTTTCCCAGAACTTTCTCACGTCGGCCTTTGAACACAACTAAACCCCCTTATACACAACATTTCTAAACTATCTCTTCTGGAAAAGACCTTGAGCACACTGCTGTGAGTCTGTGGTATCTATATTTTTGGAACAGTCTGTCTCTAAAAAGGAAACAAACGGCTTTAAAAAAAATAGTCAACTCTGTTTTTCCTAAGGGCTAGAGCTGGGCATATCAATCTAAATACTACTAATATTGATATCAAGGTAAGTATTTGTATCAGATCAATACTTTTGTTCATAGTTTCTCTTCAATATGTCTTGGACATTACTCAGATTTCCACACAAAGTTCATGCCCGAGCATATGCAGGAAATATAACACCAAAGATCAAAAGCTTGCAATTTTAATTTGAGAGCAGGATTTCATACTTTTGTAATGTTTGCACTCAAAACATGTAAATATTACAAAATTCCTCATAAGCACAGTTTTATTATTTATTCATGCATTTGATGTAAAATCTTTCTGAAACTCAAATATGTATAGTCATGGAAAGATGTATACGTCAAACCTAAAATATATGTCTGAATATTAATCATTAAAGAAAATATAGTACTCCAACTTAATATATATAGAGAGATTAGTTATTCTAATACACAATTGTGTGTAGTAGAAGTTAGTAAGGGGATTATGTTATTTCTATACAGTTATATTATTTTCTATTGTATTTAGTAAAAAAAAAAAAAAACATCTTAAAATGTATAAACAACTAACTGGAGTCAAATGCCCAAATTATTTAATAATGATTTTTGTAAAGTATTGATATTATTAATGATACTAGTCCAGTATTTATTTAGTATTCAATTGATACCATAATTCTCAGCATCGCACACCTCTGCCAATACTTGTCTGATGTAAACATGGCAAAGACACTTGCAGAGTACAACTGAGAGACGAAAACTGATAATGCAAAGATGGACGACAGAGGAATTTTAAATGTAAGAGAATCAAAGTTAAATTAAAGCAACTGTGCAAATGTTTTAACAGTACATGACAGTAAAAAAAAAACAGGAAAATATGAAATCCATTGTTGTTGTTTTTTTAATGTTTAATAATGGCAGAAAACATGTTTTAAAGCACTTTTAGTGAAAAGGAGCTCTACACATTTACACATGCTCCAATGGTTTTTGCTAAAACAGCCAAGGCCACCTGCAAATTACAGCTACTTTCTAAAATCCACGACCAGGAAGTTCAAGTGAAACGGAGAACAGGGACATTCAAATGAACCTTTTCTGAAGTGTGAAGCAAAAGCAACTCTGGACTGTTTTTAGCAAGCAGTCTTAGCAGATCGAGTTTCTGAAGCTCTATTCAAAAAAATGTAATTAGTCTTTCTCTTTTAAAGTAAAAAGTCGCATCTTAAATGAGGCCAAAAGACTGAAAAGTGATGACTTGCTACAGCACATCAGGGCAGTTCTAAGGTCTTTAAAATGACTCGGAAAATAGATTTTAAAATACTATTGTTAGTTTATAAATCACTCAATGGCTTCGCATCAAAATACATTAAAGATCTTTTGTCAAGTCAAACTTCCACACTCAGGTCTTCTTGGTTCAAGTCTCTGCATCCCCAGAGTCAAACACGGAAAAGCAGCATTCAGTTTTTATGCTCCTCTAATCTAAAATAAGTCATTTTAGTGTACAGTACACAATCCTACATTACATCTGAGCAATATACTCTTGTGTTTATGTGATATAAATATAAACTTGCCACACATCTGAGAAATTTTGGTACACTAAATCTAACAGAGTTAGTCCAAATCGAAAAATTATACTATTTCGATTTATTTTTAGTAGCTGTTGGCATCTTTGGGAACAAATGTTTACTATAAAAATATAAACAATTGGTCCCTGGACATATGACTGCTCCCTGCCAATGAATGAGCTTCTTTGGACCATTTAAAAACATAGTCCCGGTCAGCGCGGAGTGATCTGGTAGGTGTGTTCGAATAGCAAACACAGAGTACAGTCTGATAAATCTATTCATTCAGCGCAACCGGGCGGCCTATGGAGCTGTAAACTCATCCCATCGGTTTATTTGTGAAGCTACTGAATGCTGTGCACCGCCGTGCCAGAAAAATGAACGAATCAAACACGGCCATAATTTTTTGACATGAACACGGAACCGACAAGGAATAAAACCTTGTTATCAATGTGTTAGTAGTCAAAACAATTTTCCTTTCTGTTCTCGTTTTTAACTGTCTCAAGTCAGACTGGGATTATCTCTGTGTGGTTACTCAGCCATTTATCTTTCTGTGATATAAACTGGTTGTATTTAAGATAAACTACAAAAATAGTTAATTCAAATAAAAGATAAACGCACAAACAGTCTATTTAGTCGATAAAAAGCCGTGATGTATGTTCTGTTGTGAGATACGTCCGAACTCTTGGGTGTCTACCTCTCGCAGCGGAAGCGCACTGCTCACCAGGTCGTGTCCAACTGGATAATACGTCTTTGAGTTCAATGAGTAGAGAGTGGACATGAATTGAAAGACAGAAATTCAAAGCGAATACAACCGGTGTGAGTAAGCCGTTTCCCCACATATTTTCATCTGGAGTCTTATCAAAGATGCAACAATGACTCAACCGCAGCTGAACGAGTTTATTCCTCCCCCGGAGTGCCCTGTTTTTGAGCCCAGCTGGGAGGAATTCGCCGACCCTTTTGCGTACATCAACAAAATACGACCAATTGCGGAGAAAACTGGCATCTGCAAAATCCGACCACCACCGGTGATTATCTTTCTTCTCTTTCATTTATTCTGAATTGTTCGAGTTTGTTGCGTGCTGCCGTGGTCGCGGCTGTTGGGGGTAATTTTAGCAGACAAAGTTGTGTTTTTAGACGGCTTTTCAACATGGCGGATTGCGGCTCCGTTGTAAGCTAGCCCGAGCTGGAGTTGCTGGCACCAACGGTCAGCAGCTTTTTCAGACGGGAGGAAATCTGTGTCTCCATCCAAATTAACCCCCCTATCCCCCCCAAAATTAGACCTGCCTTTAATGATGCGCTCTGTGAAAAATGCGACATATTTTAAAACGATAATAGAAACGTTGAAGTTTGCCAGTACGCAAATATAATGTAAATTGTTTACATTTGCGCAGAATCAAGTGCTTCCTGGAGTCGGGGCCCCCCAGAGAA